TATTAAAAGGAATGGCAACATTTGAACAGAAATACTAAAGAGGTGTCTGCTAACTTTTATATCACATACTTAAAATTAATAAAATTAATAAATTTTATTAATTTCTCTGTGTCTTTAATCATGCATGGACTAAAGGATTTTGTTTTGTTCTCCAGGTTTGTCCTTGTTTGTATGCATTTTATGATATCTTCCATGCCCTTTTTAGATAAAGAAAGTCTGCTACAGATTTAAGGGTATGTATTCATGGATCCACTGGAGAAAGAACTGTACAGCATTCCTTAATAATAGAACTTCTGACAAAACTTCCTAGTGGTAACAGTATATCTATATTTATATCTATTTATCTCCACTTATATATATATATATATATATATATATATATATAGTGTAGTTTACGTTCTTACAAATAAACAAAGTGTCATCCAGCAGAATTATGTCCGTCATAGTATATTAACATGTAGATTTTTTTGAGGTTGTGCATCATTAGAAGATTCCTTTGAGGGCTTATATGCACTGCACAGCTTAGCATTCCATTTCACCCCCTTTTTTACTAGCTGTACCATTTATTTTTCTGAGCCTGCAAACACCAATTGCTTCTAAAGACTGATTTTATATTTTGGGCACTACGGTACTATGTAACAGAGTCTGGCTTTCAGCTGGCATTACACAGCACTACTATGACCCTATGGCATTGTATAGCTGTAGGCAGAGCTCAAATCCCAAACACAACATTGCAGTGTCAGTGACCCAGAGAAACGCAAATTCTCTTAGCTGCAACTTCATATCAATCTAGTGACACTACTTCCTATTATAAATTTACCTTGGCTGTTGCTAGCAGAGGGATCTCTGCAACACGCACCACTGCACAATGTAAATATGCCTTCAAGTATGTGTGTGTACCTCAATTTTTTAGTCTATAATACCAATTGCAAATATTAGCATGCACGGTTGTGGTGTCTGTGTTTACAAACTGTAAAGAGGCTTAAGTGTTTATCCCCTTTATACACAGAGATATCCTGGACGTGTCCAGACAACATGGAAACCTTGCTCTGGCCCCCATGTTCGTACTTCTCATGGTACTGGATGAACGTTCTTTTTTCCTTTATTAACTGCACAGTATCTTTGCATAGGTGGAATGTCTTAATACGGTACTCTAAAATGTTGTCTGACTGATTTGATTCCCAAAGGATAAATGTCAAATAAAATGAGAGGTATTATGCTCAGTATCTTTTACTTCCTAGTCATATTGGTGTTAACTAGCCTCTTATGTTGCAGCTACGCAGTCTCCAATGCCTAATTTAAAATGTTATGCTTTGCTTGGGTTCTTCTAAATGACACATCAACCTTTAAAATTAATAGATAACAGAAATAAAACAAGAAATAGATCCAAATCATGTTACATGTTGCTTGTTTTACAGCGAAAAATAGAGACTGCAATGGAGGTCAATGCATTATGTATTGGTTCTCTACAGCGTACACACTGAAATACAGCATGAGAACTACTCATATTAATGAAAAGGCTTCAAATTCAGTATTAATGTGATTTGATTTTCAATCAGTGAGTTTTATCTAAGCATTTGGAAGCAAAGGAATGGATCAATGGCACTATGTTTGACTAAGATCTAGCAAAGAAAATAAAAGGAGTTGTATCCCCATTTTAGTCTTTAACTATAGCTTTACTTTAGATAGACTGTATCCTATCATACAACCAAATACCTACTGCAACTCTTTAAAACGTAATTTGTCTTCCAATAATTATGAGAACACCTATAATGTTAATGGACAGTGTTTTCCTTTAGGTAGAAACTGATCAGTTGCCTCCCATTCCAAAGAAACTTTTGGATAAAAATCATGAGTTTGAATTTGCACAAATCAAAATTTAGGGACTATCAGAATGGTACTTTAGCTGAATGGAACACCAAATGTCCCAGCACCATTCAGAGCTTAAAAGCAGCTTCGGAAGTAGCCAAATGACCAGAGAAAAACCAAGCAGACAACTCCTTGTTAACTTGCATTTTAGCCTTAGCACAGAGTAATTCCTATAATTACAGGTATTTTCATCCTTCCCTTGAAATGAATAGTCCCTACTCCAAAAGAACATCTTTTGCATGGCTCTGAGTCCATCATTCTGTCTTTTTTAACTAAAAATAGAGACATCAATTTCAATCATTATTGCACCTGAAAGTTAACCAAATTTACCATGACATTTTATTTACATTCTACAGTGAGAATGTATGAAAATAAGATTTGATAGTCTCATTTTTTCTTATGAAGAATGAGATTCAGAAATCATGAGTAAGATGTGGAACTAATATCATCACCATGTAGCATCTGATCATGTAGGAATAAAAAGAATTGTTCTGAAAATGCCAGCAACTCTTCTACTGAAATTTTTAATTCAATTTAATATTGCAGATGCAGAGATTAGGAATATGATCTCATGAAAAAGGCAGAGAAGATATAGAAAGAATTGTCAGGGTTTTAAGATCAAATGCGATTTCAAAATATTCTATCTTTTCTGTTAAAAAAATTAAATATAGCTACATCAGTAAATTTTTCTAATATATTCATACTTCTGTTTATGCAGTCAATTATACAGATTTGATCATAAACAGTTACACAAATTGGACATATTACCCCACACCAATCTTAGAAAAATCCTCTCCCATATCACTGGTGTATGTCTATTGAGTGAATGGAGGTGAAATACAATTTGAATAGGAATTATATCTTTGAATAAATAGTAATACTACTAAAGTAATTTATCATACATATTTGGAGATTATTTTTGCAAGACTAGTATATTTTGACAGATTTTATAATAATTTCTTAGAAGAAATAGCACAAGGAAGTTATCTTCAATTATGGCAAGAGAGTTAATAAATTAATTAACCACTTAGGAGTGAAAGGATAACATGGTTCATGACATATATGAGATTTCAGAAGTAAAAAACAGATATAGGGAAACAACTTTTGATGATATCTTAAACCTTAGTTAAAGAGGGTAAATTTAATTGTAAACCAGTTTCAGCCTAATTTGTGATGACCAAACTGGGATCTCTCAGAGATCACAGTGCTTCCCTAAACATACAGGAAACATATACGAAACCACAGCATAGCAACAGTTGATATGAATTGATTTTTCAGTGCTAAGCAATGTAATGATTCATAAAGCATATTTTTCTTCTCACCAACATAATCTCTTAATAAGCTTATGTGTGTTACCCACCTGAGTTTACCATACTGTTTTATAATTACTTTAATTATGCGCCATTTATATCCGTTAAAATTTTTTTTTCTAGATCATCATCCTGGAACTTGAATAATAACTGTTAAAGACAATGATATTTCCTTAAATTTTCATTGCATGTATTTCCATATACACAAGTAACTTGTAGAGGTCTTCTTTTCCTTGTTAAATAACGCTAAGGTAAATTCTACAGACTTATACGTCAATGAAATTGCCAGAGGTATAACTCATGACTGAAACTGAACAATTCTTTTCCTCAACAGTTCCCATTTCATTTTGTTAGTCACCTTTATTTAAATATTAATAACCATGTTGTACTCTTAAAATGTTCAGGACAACCAGCATATTTTCTTGCTTCTATTTGCTATTCAGGGAAAAATTATGCCTTTTATTTCTTTCTTAGTCTTGAAGTTACCTCCTCAAATCTAAGTGTTCCAACAGAGGGTAGATTTCAATTAGATATTAAGAAGAAATTCCTTTGTAAGACACAGGAGCAGATAGCCCAGAGGAGCTGTAGATGCTCCATTCCTGGAAGTATTCAAGACTGGGTTGGATGGGGCTGCTTTGAGCACCCAGGCCTAGTGGAAGTTGTCTCTGCCCGTGGCAGGGGGATTGGAACTAGATGATTTTTAAGGTCCCTTCAACCCAAACAGCTCCATGATTCTGTGATTCTATGATTATTTTTTCAGAAAAAAAAATAATAAAAAATCATGGGATATGGAAACAATTCCAGCAACTTCTTCCTAGCCAGAAATATTTGAACCCAAGCAGGATTATGGGATCCGTTCTCCTAGGGAGAGATTGTGTTTCTCTGAGCTCCAGGGTAAAACACTATAAAAGGTTAATTCACCAGAGTAATATAGCTGTAAATAACTATTTTAACACACTTACAAAACATTGTTCACTCTCTCATTGTTCCTATGATAAGGAATATTCTTGCAAATCAGTCTTTTTGCATGTCTATTTTGTGCCTCTAGCAATCACTACGGGTTTTTTGTTTTGGTGGGTTTTTTTTTCTGTTTTTCTTTTAGGTAGAATCAATGTAATTTTTAATGGTAAAATCATGTTTACTCAGAAGAAAAACAGCTGAAACAGCACTAAAACTGCCCATGTGAGAAGTCTCTCACAGAGAGGTCCATATTACTGACCCTCCAATGCTGAAGGATCTTCATTGTGTAGAACTGTGTTGTGCCTGGGCCATGGGATAAATGCAGACCTTAGATGGCACCTAATTTCTCCATTTTCACAAGTAAACTTGGCAGGTGCAAACTAATTAAAACCAATTTGTACCAGCTGGAACTTCTTTGGGTTTTTTGGAAGGTAATTACCATTATTTACTATATGGAGGAAAATTAAAAAAAAAAAAAAAAAAAAAGTGAAGTAATTCACTCTAAGTTCCTGCTCAAAAGTCACTTAAAAGTCCCTTAAATCCCATAATATACAACAATTTGGAAAGGCTGAGCCTAAGCAAAAATTCTTCCTGCTCACTTCTTGACATTTTGTCAGAAAGACCTGTAGAAAGAAGACTCCTCCTAGAGTGTAAATACCTGAGGGAAAGTCAGAGCATCCTCTATTTACCTGTGCACCTGCAAAGGAAAACTAAAATGTCTGAAGCCCCACCTTTTAAGAACCTTGTGAAACAATCTGGGAACTGAGCCAAAACCTCCTCTCTCAGTATATAAGGCTCCGGAACAGAGAGGTATTTCCTCAGAGGCAGGTTGTTCGGTAGCTTCTACCGGACTTCCAGAAGATGGGCAGAGGTGGTGGAACTCGAATACCACTATGGATATCAATACTAGCACTTGTCTTCATACAGATCAAAGGTAGGAAGATTCACTTTCTTGGCATTTTTACTGTTTTAAAGAACTTATAACTTGCTTTGGAGCTTGAAACATTTTTTCCTTGGCTTTGTGAGGTTAATGAACCTGTTACATTCATGCATGATTTTCTTTTCTGTTAAAAATACTTTGCTTCCTAAAAAGAGGAAATTACCTATTTTCAAACTGCTGTCCTGTTTCCTCCAGTTGAAATCTGGAACAGCTCCACTGCATCAGTGGAACGCACTCAGAACTTACATGCCTCAAGATTTAGCTTTTGATGTTTATTTCATGGTACAGCATTTCTAAATGCACAAACCAAAAGGTGCAAAAGTACCTCTAGAAAGGAACAAGTCAGTGGATGAGATTGTCTGCATGCATTATTAAGGATTTTGTTTATCAGCTGATGACACAGTATTGAAAAAAGGGAGGATTTTACTTGAAAATCATTAGACAGTAGGTTTAAAAGATTCTTTTACTCTTGCCCATGAGGTTGCGTAAAAGCTTAGCACACAGTGGTTTGCAATGGGCTGAAAGCAAATGAAACTACTTTAAATATTCTAAAAGGGCATTAATAGTCACAGATAGATTTAAATATCTTTTTACATTTTCTCAATTATTTTTTCATCAAATAATTTCCTTTAAAATTCAAGGTAACAACAATGTTAATTTTCTAGTTTGATCTCAGGTGCAGATTATATTGTATGATTTTGTATTTTTTTTCTGCTCCCACACTAACTTCTGTTAAGAAGTAGTAGTGTCCAGGAATAGCCCATCAAAAGACTAGCTGTAGCATTACCACACCATGCAATGGAAGCAGGGATCTGCAATGCATATGGCATGAGACAGTGGAGCCATACAGTGCATGGAGAGAGTAGCAAAAAGCTCTCAGGCTGGGCAGAGAAGGAGCCCAGAAGCACTGAATGGTTCCTACCTTCAAAGTAGGCACAGCATGTCCTTCCAAGACCAGCTGCAGACCCCCAGGTAATGCTAAAAGGGATTTGCAGAGCTCCCTACAACTCCAGATTCAGCCTAAGCCCCTCTAGTGGTGCTGCCCACAGACTGCCCTTGCAGGGTGCAGCAGGAGGCGAGCCTGCCTTTTTGGTTTTCTCTGGCCAGCAGTAGTCTCCACTGCAACATGCCCTGTGATGAACTCTCACTAAGTGGTGTATTAAAAGCCCCTCTGGTCCCTGCAGATAATGTGTGTATTCCTATTGTGATGCTGCAGTAGAATAGAATGAAAAATGACTTCTTTGCTGGAAACAAAAGGTTTGCTTTGGGGCAAAATCAACAGGCACAAATCTATGTATTGGAAAGACCTATTTCTTTCTGTGTGGTTTTTGTGTTTATTTTCCTGCTGCTGCTTTTCACCAAGAATGCCTGAAACTGAAAAATATAGAGTAACCGAGAGGGCAGAGATCAGCCCTCTAATCCTAAAATGAATTTTTCCTGTACAAAAGGAAATTTTAAAGCACTCTGGCTAGAAAAAAGGTTTTACTGATGCTTAAAGCACAGAATGACCATAAAACCTAAGAAAATTAAGTTCTTTATCTGAAAAGCTTATAAGGAAATCCATGGTTACATTGCAACAACAGCAGAATAAGAATCTGCTCAAATTACCACAGGCGTGTTTTTGATGGCTTCCCTGCAGTAATTTATTAGTCAAAGAATAAAAACATACCAAGAAAAGGGAAAAGCTGAAGGAGTGTGTTTGGCCATCATGGTTGCATGCAGCCCAAATCCTGATTCAAATTTGCCTTTGCATGAGCATATCTTTGCTATTTTTTTTTATATACTGACTGTTGCATGTTTAAACAGATGTAATTGAGAAATTGAGGGAGCTCAGGAAAATTAGACATTAACATTTCTACCATTCTTGACGCAGTTCAAGCCCAAGATGGTGAACAACAAACAAAGTCAAAGTATATTTCTCCATCTATCCTGCAGCGACAAAACTGTAAGTATTTCTATGCTGATCTATTTCTAAGAATTTTTTTCCAAATCAAGTTGATAAATAATAAGATTACTAGAATGGTTTTATTCCTAACTAGAATATACCACACACATGAAAAGAGAAGTCCTCTGTAAAATATACCCAATCTCTGACTGCTCTAAACTTGAGAACTTCCTCTGAGATCTGGTCCAGTGGATCTGCTCTACTGATATGATAGACTTATCTAATCTTTAACTTCAGGAAAGGTACATACCTTCTATCTAAAAGTGTATTTTCAGAAGAGGTGTGTGTTTACATATGTATCACCAGGGTACTTGATAGCAGGTAATAAAAGACACGTTTTTATTTTTTTTGCACTGTGTCAAGAAGACTGCATTACTCACCAGAGAATAAGGAAACTGTAACTACCTAATACATTATGCTAAATATTAGCATAATTAAGCACTGCAAGATCATGCATGACACATAACTGTACAGAGCAAAATAAGGGTGGAAGGATACAAAGCTGACTGGTATATTACTGATGATAGGCTGAAACAACTGATCACTAAGTCTGTCCTGCAAGAAGTGTACCACAAATTATTTAACAATAGCTGAGGATTATATGGTTGCTTTTGAGTTCAGAACCAGGGCCAGGATCAGATGGGAGTCTTGAACAAACAATGAAAGAAAGTACTACAGCCAAAGGGCATAGTCTTTGGTATTTAGTTGTTAGTGAAATTTATAGAAAGACAGATCACAAAGCATTGTGTAAAAACCACCAATAAAACCTGGTGGAAACTTCCCTATAGAGTGAAAATAGTAGTAGGAAATATTCATCACTAAAAGGGCTACAATATCTCTATCCATTTTGTAGGATTCTAATATGACTAAACTTGATCGTTTTTTCTCCTTTTGCTTTTCTACCAGCTTTCAAATCCCAAGATGTGACAATCATTCCACCTTTTCAAAACACACTGAAAGTAAAGGGTAAGTTAAGCAAATGTCATGGCACAGATATCTGTGTTTTTGTTGATCACACAGGTAGAGCATGGAGTGACTGAAGAGATCAATAGATTGTGTAAGATCCTTTAGCATTGTAAAACAAAAAAAATCAACAAAAAAGCAATCAGTTCATCAGGTAACACAAATAATCTAACTGTGAATCCAATGTTTGACCTGCATTGGGTTTATATGATGCTGTTGTAAAGACAAAAATTAAAAATATATTTATATATGTAATAATGGGAAAAATCATGCACAATATTTCTAGTAAAGAGAGAAAAATACCAGCATGCTGAAAACAATGTGGAGACATCTTATCTAGGGTATAGGGTACAATTCAAGCAGGGTGAGTGTAAATGTGGAAGAAATGCGGGAAGGGACTGTGAAGATAATCAGAGAGATAGGAGAGCCTGCTTGTAAGGAAATGAAGTCTAAAAAGAGATAAGAGATTTCTATAACTGGTGGAGGGAGTAGTAGGGAGGTGGAACCCCTTCAAGGTGAAGTGTAATTCTGGCACAAGAACAAGCAGGTGTACACGAGACAGGAATATGCTTTGGAAGATGTTGGCAAAAGTCTTCTAGCCATTCAAAGGTTGCAGATACGAGTGGCCTTCCCTAGTAGGCGTATCAGCTAGTTTTAAACTGACTTTAATCTGCTTTTATGGTGAAACTTTAGAACTTGATACATTTATGAAAGGATTTATAGGATATGGACGTTGACAGAACCAGAGCATTGTATCTAGTGAACCATGAGGTCTCCTTCCCTACGCAAAACAGATTAAACACAAAATAACTGAACAAAATAAAAAAAAATTATGATAAGCAAATAGCAAGAGAAGGAGGAAAAGATGGGCATTTGGGACAAAGGCTACTGAAAGAACTGGGAGGGGAAAGACAACTAAAGGGAGGGTATCACAGCAAATTACAGAAAATTCATACTGCTTGTTTTGACTCCACAGCTGGCAATCCCTTCCACAATGGCCGCGTATGCAGCACCTGGGGTAACTTCCACTTCAAAACCTTTGATGGGGACATCTTTTACTTCCCTGGAGCCTGCAATTACATCTTTGCATCCAACTGCAAGTCTTCCTATGAGGACTTCAACATCCAGATTAGGCGTACAATGGAGGAAAATGCTACCGTGATCACTCACGTCATCATGAAGCTGGAAGGAGCAGTGATTGAACTGACCCGTGGCTCTGTCAAGCTAGATAACAAATTGTATGTTCATAACTTGCAACTGTCATCACTGCTGTTGATTCCAGTGAGCTCTTTAAGCAGGCATTCCTTTCCCTCGTCTGATCCCACATTGCTCCCAAGCAGCTGGAAGGCTCAGGTCTTTCCTGAAATATTAACAGAAGTGAGGGCTTGACAGTGAGCTAAGTGCCACTTCTGCACATGGTCCTGTGTCCATTTTATGCAGATGAACTATATCCCATATGGTGCCCCACTTCTACAATTGTGTATGTATATATATAACTGAGTGTATAAGTTGGATTCAAAGTGTTAGAAACTTAAAGGGTGCAAAACCTACCTTCCATTACTGTTACTAGAACAGAATTCTTGAGAGTTTTTGACAGCTCTTGTCTTTGCACCAAACAGTGTGCAGTTTGTGACTGCAGCTTATATCTGAGTTAGTTTGAAATTATCTCTTCTGGAAACTTGGAATCTGCGTAGCAATTGTAGCACTGACTCTGGCATAGGGTGTGAAACCTGTCGAAAAGGACAGGTAAATATTTGGGCCGTTATCCCACTGTGAGCTGTCTGTTATAGCAGCTTTGTACAGTGAGCTAGTGTAAAGGTTACCTTGGGTACAGCTTTCTGAATGTCACTCATGCCACAGAAAGACAGTCTTAACCATCAGATGCTTAAAGCCTGAAGCATACTGCTTGCAAAACAGTCTCCCAGCACTTCTTTGAACCATACAACCAAAAACATAAGCCAACATTTTACCTAGAAAAACACCCTTGCAAGAAAGCCAAAAGGAACAACAGGGCTGATCTATATGCACGAGAAGCAACTGCATAGGAAATGGACAAGATGTTACAAACCTGTGTTGTCTGTATTTAGCTACTGCTCTGATTTCCTCCCTGATGCATGTTGAAAATTCTCGAAGAGAAGGAGAAAGAACGGCAGTCCGGATATTCAATGCATATTCTGTCCCTACCCGTGCTGACTTCTGATGATCTTTCCCCAGGGTTCAGATGCCTTACAGCCATATGGGAGTCTTGATAGAGAGAAGTAACAACTATTTGAAAGTTTCTGCCAAGTTAGGACTGACCTTCCTTTGGAATGAACAGGATGCCCTCCTGGTAAGAAAACATCCAAAACGTGGCAGAAAGTCTGTATTTTGAAAATAGTTTGTTTACATCTTCGCAGTATTAATCAGTCATGCTGACATTAGTTGCTTTTGCATTTGTGTCCATTTTTAGTGTATTGTTCTGTTTTCCAGTCTTCTCCCAATTTCCCTTTTTTCCCCCCACCAATCTCAGTTCAGAGTCAGTCAATAGACCCCCAATTATAATATTCTCACCTCACAGTGAAGTAATCCTCAGACCTGGCAATGCAACCTGATGTTTGCAACCCAGGGCTAGAAAAAGAGCAAGTTTTTCTTGGTTGTCACTGACCTTTCCAATGGTGCCTACCTTGTTATCAACACAGTCTGTACAGCAAACGTGTCAAATTCTGAGTAAACAATATAAATATTGATGTACGCTGTGCTCCTAACCATCCAGACTGACATTTCTATGAACCTCTTTCCTCATTTCTTTTAGGTGGAACTAGATAAGAAATATGCCAATCAGACTTGTGGACTTTGTGGGGACTTCAATGGAATTCCAGTTAATGATGAATTTATTTCAGGGAGTAAGTAATAAAAAGCAATATTAAGTATTGGTGCTTGTTTTTTCTTTTACATTATACTGTAACATAGCTTGTGGGTTGTATTAACTGCAAAACTAGTGATACTTTTTTATGTGTTTCTATGATATCAGTTATGCATACCGTCAGGGCTTTGAGATGTATTAGACTGCTTCCATCACTGTTAGACATTTTAAGACCTGCCACATAAAACTTCCTACTAGTTTGCAATACTTAGGGCCGAGTTCTTTGTTCTTCTTTTACCTTTCATATTATGGTGATATTATTTGGTAATCAATGTTCATGTCATAGCACGTAGTATCACAAAAGGAAACAGCTCCATGCAAAAAACCCAGTAAACATTGTTCTAACATTTGAACTGTTTTTTTACAGAGACCAAACTAACTCCCATACAGTTTGGTAATAGGCAGAAGATGGATGGACCCACAGAGCAGTGTGATGATCCTATTCCTTCTACTGTTCAGACGAACTGCTCAGCAGAATTTGTAAGAACCTCTCTCTCAAAATTTGTTTTCTCAGTGTGAAATATATTCTCCCTATCTTTGGAGAAAATTTGTTAGAAGGGAAAAAAATATGCCAAAGTGAACACTAAAGAGTTTCCCATCTAAGAGAACACTGTATATTTTCCAGAAAATCACTGAGGATCTCTTAACATAAAGAAACTGTATAATGCTTGGGAAGTCACCTGAGGTGAAAGTAACTCAAGATATAGAAGATACCAGAATTAACCAAAGGAGTTCCTTTATGTTCTTGCCCTATTGATATACTTTTCCCTAAATATCTGCTTATGGCTACTGTTACACAAGCTTTGTGGACCAGATGGATCTTCGATTTGTTGTGCTATGTGCCTTAAATGACTAGTTTCATATTTTCTAAGTGTTCTGTTTTCCTTCCCAGGCCTCTATCTGTGAGACAGTATTAACCAGTAAAGCATTTACAAGTTGCAACATGCTTGTCAATGTTCAGGACTACATCGAAACTTGCATACAAGATCTGTGCCACTGTGATAGTTCTATGGCTGACTTCTGCATGTGTAACACTTTTGCCGAATACTCCCGTCAGTGTGCTCATGCAGGAGGACAGCCTCTGAACTGGAGAACCTCAGAACTGTGTCGTAAGTATCTCAGGAAGGGACTTCCACTTGTGCTTATTACCCACATCTATTAAACTTCAAATACAGGAAGTTTTTCCTCCAAAAGACAGTTGCTTAAAGGTGCATACAATTATCATGAAATCACTTTCAACCTGATCATACTGAAGACTTTGGGAATATGGAAGTTTAGGGGATTTTCCTTACTAACAGTTTTTAATATATATCAGAAAACCTAAAATGTTTTAGCCTCTACTTGGATCAGGATTCCCCATCATATTTTGACAGAAAACGTCCTAAATTGCAAATACTGTTTTCTCAACCTTTCAAGGGAAAAACCAGCTACATAATACTCTTTCTACTTTTAGCCAAATCATGTCCGTTCAACATGCAATACCACGAGTGTGGCTCTCCCTGCTCTGACACGTGCAGCAACCCGGAACGATCTGCACTTTGTGAAGACCATTGTACTGATGGCTGCGTCTGTCCTCCAGGTAAGCTTATTTCCTGCTCTTTTCTCACAGCCACACCCACAAGCATACTTACCTGTACACATTTAACAACTTTCACACTCTGCATCATTCTCATCATGACACCAGTGTTATTGTCATCAAAAGAAAAGCTACATTTCTTCCTTCATACACGTGCTCTATTTCTATTCATATTACTAAATATACCCTTTTAAGCAACGAACGTGCTGCAGACATGTATATAATGACTTAACTGAGAATAAGATAATCTGTTCCTAACAACAATGGCATTCAGATTCAGTTCCCAGAAAGTATGAAATCTTTAATCAGATTTTGCACACAATAATAACTCCTACTTTTAGCAAAGCTGCATCTGGTTCACCAAATCACCAACTCCTTCTTGTCAAGTGCTGAGTGTTTAAACAACAAGGAGCTGAGAGAGCACCAGACAGCGCATACAATTTGGTCCTTCAGAGAATTATCCATGAGACCTGACTATCAGTACAAGACAAACAATGCAAATGTGTCCTCTTTGTGCACACTTCTGGGGCTGAACATTTTTGTTGCTGTTGTGAGTAACTGTATGGGAGGATCTTCACTCCTTGCAGCTCTTCTGCCCATTCTCATGATGTCTCACAGAATTCACCATCATATGTTTGTGTAACGGCATTGACTTCTCTTAAACAACCCCTCTGTCTCTGGGCACAAAAATATTGACTGTACAAATATGTCTTTGGGCAGTCTTACAAATGGTTTATCTATTCCACCTCATTATTTAGAAATTTTAATCCTAACTCCATCCTAATGAAGTCCATAACAGAAACATATTTCCCTAGAGGTCTGTTTTGATCACCCTAGGATTTTAAGTAGGCTTCAATAGCATATAGCCTTTCAATCTCTATATAGCTTGCATCCTGTTATTTTAAAGTACTGTGTAATACAGAAGAAATAGGACATGTTCTCAGGCATCTGCTAGATGTGTGTTCAAAGGCAGGTTGTGCAGTGCACAGAAAGAGTAATAGACCATTTTTTTTCCTAGGAATGGTATTTGACGACGTTAATGGTGCTGGCTGCATTCCCCGAAGAGAATGCCACTGTACCTATGAAGGGGAAACTTATGCTCCTGGTGCCTCCTTCTCATCTAAATGCAGAACATGGTAAGACATTTTCACACACTTCTTTTCTTTTAGGTGCATTATATCAATATTCTGAAGACAGGAAAAAACACATTTCCCCTTAAAAAAATTAGGAACTAGTTATCAATTGAAATGTCCTGATTACACTGTTTTAGAGGATAGTTCATGTCTCTTTTCCCCTTACACTTGGAAGCAAAATTTACGTTTTCGAATAGATACTTTAATTTCAAGACATACCAATTAAAGAAGACAAACAAATAACAGAGGTGTTTAAAAATGTGAATTAGTGTTACATCCCTTGTAGCACTACAGTGTAATATTAGGATGCTCATATAAATACCATAGAGGGCATGACACTTAGGGACATGCTGTATTTAGAGTGGGAGATCACATTTGAGAGGCATATTTGGCAAATATTATATATCTTTTTGAATATCACTATAACTACTGAATCTAACTGCATAAGCGTATGCAAATGTTCCCATCTATGTGTGAACACAAGAACCACAAACATGCATGTTATTTTCCATGCAATACCCATGTTTGAAGCTCGAGCCAAGCTAATGGAGATGAAAAGCAGTACTTCATATGCAGAAGGATATGCATGGCAGGTTCAGCAGGATTGAATCCTATCCAAAGACTGGAAATGAATAGCAATATATATATAAAATTATCACTAATATAAATGTGCCTGCCCCATCCTTATTCGGATATTTTATAGCAATACTGGTTTCTCTGACAGTATGATCAGTGTTTCAAGAGGAAAACTGAGGCATCATCTGCCCTTATTGGTTTTTATTTAATTTTCATTTGCACTACCCAAGGTTACTGAATGCCTTCTTCATTTCAGTACCTGTGTTGGAGGTGAATGGTCTTGTGTCACTCAGTCGTGCCCTGGGACCTGCAGTATTGAAGGAGGCTCCCACATTTCAACATTTGATGAGAAATACTACTCTTTCTTTGGAGACTGTAGCTATGTCCTAACCAAGGTAAAAATGAGTCACGCTTGCTAAAGGAAAGTGTTGTTATTATATATAATGTTGTTTGATGGAAACTACTGGCAATCACATCAACTTTATGAAATTTAGAGGGTCAACATGGAGCCTGTCTGTTAGGGTTATACTAAATAATACTGTAGTGATTTTGTTTTCTTTGATCATTGTTTAAGAATTGCACTCAGTTTTTAATAGATATACTAAATACCTAGATTTTTAGTAGATTTACTAAATACCTAGATTTCATAACCTTAGCTATTTTTATGGTTTATTTGTATTGGGTGAGTAATGTAAACTATTTTCATAAGGACTTCATGTTGAATCAAATCTGTTATCAACAACATCAATCGGAATGTTACCAAGTAAGAGAATGATAAAAACTTAAGGAAGTGACAGAGTAATTTAGAAATAGATTAGACTAAATTGATGAAACTTTTGAATGAAATTCACAAGCACTCTTCTTGATCCACAATGGAAGCACAGATCAGATGTACACTTTAAACTCCTTTTGTCACCAACACATAAAATTAGATTCTCAGGGTCTCCGGAGGTAGAGAAAAATCACTAAATTTGTACTCAAAAGTTCAAAAAGCCCATAAACTTAATACTGAATTTCCAGATGGCTGTAATTCTGCATATCAGCTATCCTCAATTTAGTCTTCATTATGCCAAAAAAGTGATGACACATTCAGAATCACAGCCTTCTTTGAGTCTTGCCCTGTTAAATCTTTGCCATTAGTCACCTTTTGAAGGTGGCTCACAGAACACAGTTCAGTGAAAATTAGAACCAAGACAAAAACTGAATTTTGCCTATATTCGGTAATTTAGTGAATAAGGATTTCAGGTTAATTTTTTCCTGTTAGAGAATATTTAAATGAATTATTTCTTATCGGTTTGAAGAATGTTCAAATCACCAGGATCCTTGATTAATCTACTCAGTGCAGAAGACTGGAAATAATTTCTTTCCTCTCCGTGGTAAACTTCATAACCACTGGGCAAGAAAGGCAGGTGTCCTTCTTCTCTAGCACATTAAACTAGTATTACCTTAACATTAGGAACTACTATTACCTAAGCATTAGGGAGTTTAATGTTCAGCTTACTCACCCTTGAATGTCAGGAACAATGGATAGCTTCCAGCGTGCAGACTTCAGGAATGCCAGTTGACTTGGTATCTGTATACATATATGTAGGACCATATAAGCAAGGAGAAAGTAAATAAACAATATTTTGAAAGACTCACTTTACTAAGAATTCCACTGAAGTGTGAACCTTTTAAAGATAACAATATTTTAATATAACAAATCCTTTTATCGGTATCTTTTGTTTTCTTCTTCTAGCTCTGTGACAGCAATGAATTTACGGTTCTGGGAGATATCCACAAGTGTGGCCTGACTGACACTGAGACGTGCCTGAAGGGTATAGCCATCAGCCTGAGTGGAGGACAAACTGTGAGTAGCAAATGTAGACTCCTAATATTCTGCAGGGATGCTCTCAAAGCTTAACAGACAAGTAGTTTGCAAATGACACATTACAGCACAGACAGGAAATATGCACTTTTTGTGTAATTTGAACATTATTCAAAGTAAAATCAAGAATAAAGTAAGTACGTTAGAAAACAAGATCCTAGTAGTTTTCTCTTATTTAGGTAACTTTGGGCTTTTGCTTTTTTTGGACAGTCAGTGGATAGATAAAAGATTAAAGAAATAATATAGGAAGCAGAACATCCTCATAGTCTCCCTCCACTGTTTTTCCTCCTCCATCTTGAACAGTATTAGAAAATACCTTGAAAGTACTTTACTTTTCCTAAACATAATCATTGCCTTTTCTTGTGGACAGAACATTGTGATTCAACCTTCTGGAAGTGTATTTGTGAATATGATCTACACACAGCTGCCATTCTCAGCAGGTAAGTTCCTTTGGAACACTTCTGTAATATTTCTCATTTTTTACTTTAAAATGTTATTAAATTAATAATATAAACCAAATTCTACCTTTGATTACACTTCAGCGAACCCAAAGTACTGCAGTTATAGCATAGTCTCCCACTTCTAATGTAATAGGGTTTGTCTATTCAACACTTAAAAATTTTAGCAAAATTAAGGTCTTAATATCTAATGAAATGAAGATTCAGTTCAAGGAAATAGTGTCATTGCACACTTCCATATCCAAACATTGACATAAGAGAGGAAAGAAAAAAATCTGACATGTAACAGGACTCCAGTATCTCAAGTCATTTAATTCCCTGTGTTTTCTCTGGAGCACATTAATCTCTGGAGTTTCTCTCACGACAGTTCTTCTCAGATACTGCTGCACCTGAACACAAAGCAAACCATGAAAGGACTAAATTGGACTAGGCTGGAGTCTTCCATTAGATAGTGCTATATCATTTTCATCAAGGAAAGGCGATCTTTTAAATAGCAACAAATGTGTGTGTTCTTCCCCTTATTTTAAAACACCTGATAAAAAGTCCAGGGTTTGTATACATCTGTTGTTTAGGTGTTTAGATTAGCCTATTTAGGTGTTGGATTTGAAATCCCATATGGATCATTTCCCCCCCAGTTCTTCAGAAATTAGGTTCATATCAAACACAGCTGTAGAATTCCTCTGTATAATGAACAATTATTTCAAATGCTCATCTCATATGAAATTATAACTCTTTTGTTCTTATATCCCTAGCAAATGTCACCATCTTCAGACCTTCATCTTTCTTCATCATTCTGCAAACAACCTTTGGTCTTCAGCTACAGGTTCAACTTGTGCCTTTCATGCAACTTTTTATAGACTTAGACCCATCACATAAGGGGCAGACCTGTGGTAAGTGACCTTATCATAACAAGAGCCTTCACCAGTATGTGTCATTCTGTAGGGCACTTTCACAGACCATCTGCTTCCTCTTAGGTCTCTGTGGAAACTTCAATGACATGCAGACAGATGATTTCAAAACCACCAGTGGTGTAATAGAGGGTACTTCAGCTGCCTTTGGAAATACTTGGAAAACTCGGGCTGACTGTCCTGATGCCAAAAATACCTTTGAGAACCCCTGTACTGTCAGCATACAAAATGGTAAGCTCAACTTATAGGAACTTCTTCTATTCTCTTTTAAGATGCAAAGATGGAATAAGATGATCAATCACCAAGCATTTAGACAAAATAACAGAACTGTTTGAACACATACTATTTTCCTCAGCTGACACTACAAGTCTTCAATTAATAAACAATAGCTAGGAAAATATTTTGGATCTTTAAAAACATATCTTTGGATCAAGACAGCAACTATATAGCATATTAAGAATCAATTCCTGGTAAGGGCTGATTTGTCATATAGGAAAAAAACTATGCATAGCCTCACTGAATGTTAGACTCAATGTGGTCCTTCCATTGTTACATTGTAAAGTTAAGCTTCTGCAATTTCCCTGCAGAAAGTATAGTAAAAGTGAGACGAGAGTTTTGAATATTAAGTACAATAGAAACTCTTACTCTGTTTTCAATTCACAGATCAGTATGCTCAGCACTGGTGTGGACTGCTCTCTGATCCTATGGGACCTTTTGCTGAATGTCACTCAACAGTGAATCCAGAAGTTTACCAGAAGGTATTTGGCTCTTAACTTTATCCCATTTAAGAGAAAAAGACTCAGATTTCTGATACTAACACCTTCCCAGTTGAGAGGAGACGCATTCATGATAGTTCTTTTCAAGCCAAGGGTTCATTCTTATCTACACAACATAAAATTTGCTCATTTGTAAAGGTATCTTTCCATTCCCAGGAGGATAAATTATCCAAGGAGGATAAATTCCTCCTGCATTTTTAGGTGCAAACTTAAAGACTAAGCTAGGAGCTTGGACTCCCTGGACTCCTTATGAGGTCAAGGGACTCCTTCCTGAGGTAGAAGGAAAGCTTTGGTCAGAATCTTTACTGGCACTTTAGTTTCTCTGAACTGCTCTCAGAAGGCTTTTGCATATATGTAATGGACATGGCAAGCAATGTGTGTAGAAGCAGCAAAAAGATTCAGATAACATGAGAACAAAAACATTCCAGGAATTCAAGGTGATGAAGCTCTGTAACAGAGTCCCTGGGTACTTTACAAAATCTCCCTGTTATGGCAAATTTATAAGATTACGTTTAGCAAACATATTCTGGAATTACAATATTATAGTATCCCTACCTTGCATAGAAACATATTAAATAACTTGTTTTCTTTAATCCTCTTGTGTAGAGAGCCCAGGCTCTTAAGTCTAAGCCCCAAAAGCTGGGTGGCATCAAATACCCTCTATTTGTTCTAAATAAACATGGCACAGTGGGGGGAAAAACGATGCAGTTGGAAAACCTACCAACACCTGAAAAAGAAAAAGTAAAAAAAAAACTTCAAAGTTGTGGACCTCTAATTACTATTTCTTCATGCAAAGAGTCTTTTTTTGAAAGTGCTCAATGAAGAATAGGCATATGTTTACTTACACTTGTGGATTACACTCACTTTAACCTTTAACAAATGCAACACTCTAAAAACTATAGAGCACCATGGCTTTGACATGACAATGTGATGATCATATGTCATCCCCTGTTCCTAGAACTGCATGTTTGACACATGTAACTGTGAGAAGAGTGAGGACTGCATGTGTGCTGCCCTTTCCAGCTATGTCAGAGCCTGTGCTGTTAAAGGCGTTCTGCTCCCTGGATGGAGAAACAAAGCCTGCAGTAAGTTTTACATTCCTTTGCCTTTTGAAAATGATCACCCAGAAGCTCCCACAGAGCAGCTCTCATGATTCCCACAGTAAATTGCGTTAAATTGGGTTTTAAATGTATTGACTTTTAAGAAGTTGAGGAGGAAAGGAATACCATAAAAGACAAGTAATAAACAGTCAGAGAAAAGAGGCTTTGTTAGATTAGTTGTTCAGAACCAGCAGAAGTAACATGAAGAGCCATACCTTTGCAATAGGAATAAAATAAGTAAGGTGTTTCTCGATTTACTTTTGCCAAAAAAAAAAAAAAAAAAGGCAATGAGGAAGAAACATACTATGTATAATATAGTTGAAATTTGTCCCTTTTCTAATTTGGACAAAACATTTGTATTTGTGACACATTTGTAGGGGTAAATTCTGCTCTAGAAGTAAAAAAACCCAATTTACACTACGGAGGATATCAGTAAAGCATTTGTATATACATTGCCATGTTTATCATAAATATTTTACCTCAAATACTTCATTTATACCTACATTGATTCTTAAATGAGCTACAAATGTAACTCACCTTTTTTTACTTTCAAGCAAAATACACCACCTTGTGTCCAAAATCTTTGAAGTACACTTACAATGTCGATACCTGTCAACCCACCTGCCGGTCTCTGAGTGAGCCTGATGTCACATGCAGCATCAAGTTTGTCCCAGTTGATGGCTGCACCTGCATAAATGGAACATACCTGGATGAAACTGGCAAATGTGTGCCTGCTTCTAGCTGTCCTTGTTACTACAAAGGAATGCCTTTGTCTTCTGGAGAAGTTATTCACGATAATGGTGTTGTCTGGTAAGAGATCTGTAAACAAAAAAAATGAGATTGCTTATATCCAATCATGAAACCATATATACACCATGAAATCAAATCAAATGCATGTCTTTCCCTAAGAATTTCAATCGAAAAAATCACATTCTTAAAAATTGTTAGGGCTACCCGTGTTTGCAAGATTGTATAGGAATTGAACAAAACATATTGGGGTAGGTTAGCCTTTGCTAACAGCCAAACTCCTACTCAGTCCCTCTCTCTCTCTCTCCCCCTCCCTTCCTGTCTTGTTCCCCTCAACACATACTTTTCTTATCTATGACTGTAAAAGGCTTGTTCTATGGTGAAAGATAATAATGTTACAGATTATTCCCACGATGAATGGAATCTGAATTATTCTGAAGAACGGTTTAAAACCAGACAAATAGACAGAGTAAACACTTCTTTGTATAGAATATACTTGTATTTTGTTCTGCTCTAATATAAAATATTCTGGTAAAGGACATGTATTATTTGTTTTATCACACAGTATTTTTTCATTATTTCAAATTCACTAGGAAACAGGCTGAAAATTAACAAAAAAAAAAGTTAAAACACATCCATTACTTTTTTTTTTTTTTTTTTTTTTTTTTTTTTTTTTTTTTTATAGCACTTGCACCTATGGAAAGCTGAGCTGCATTGGAGAGAAACCTGAACCAGGTAACATACCCCTTTATCCCTTAAGATTTTCTTTAATTCTCCCTTTCTGTCTTCATCCTTTTCACTTCTCCCTTTTGTCATAATGATGGAAATTGAAAAAAGTAGGAAATCAATCAAGAAAATTAACTGAGGACTTCTGTAATGTAGAGGATATTCCCAAAATATAAAGAAATACTGTCTTACCTTCTGATGGCTGAAATAAGTTATAAACCCTGTGGGTTACCCAGTAGAAAAGAGTGTCAGGTCACCTCACTGAAAGTGAGGGGAAAACTATCCAAATTTTAATTGAAAGTAGTAAAAGCAAAAAATAAAACACAAAGTAATCCAGGATCTTTGTTTTCTTGGTTTGTTCTTCTGAAAGGTGTTTCGTGAAGCTAATTAAACATTAATTTCATGCAGTATTCCAAGCATAAGCACAAAAACCAGATAAGCATGATTTCAAAACAAACAGTTTCTCTTTCTGGTCAAACGTATCATTTTAAGGTGCACATATGTCACAAAGGAGTTTTTCCCATTTTTCTTCAGTCTGTGTTAAGGAAACACAAAGACACAAATGCATGGCTGCTGTCATATTTCTCATGGCTTTTCTCTCTTTCAGTCTGTGTACCTCCCATGGTTTACATTGACTGTGGTAACGCCACTGCAGATGTGGTAGGAGCAGGATGCCAGAAGAGCTGCCAGACTCTAGATATGGAATGTGTAAGTACAGAGTCTTTATAACTAGTTGAAAGCACATTAAACTAGATCTTTTACAATAACCACCTGCCACTGCACTCTTCCAGGAGGGAAATGTTTTAAGACTTGTTTTCTCTATGGTCCTTACAGTACAGAACTCACTGCGTCTCTGGCTGTGTATGTCCTCATGATCAAGTGTCAGATGGCAAAGGAGGCTGTATAGCTCCAGAAGACTGTCCATGTGTTCACAATGGGAATTTCTACAGTCCAGGAGAATCAATCAGAGTTGGCTGTAACAACTGGTAAGGGCATATTGAAAAATAACATTTCCTTCAAGCTCTAGGGAAATAACATATGAGTGAATAGCATTTCACTCTAACAGCATCAAGATTTATAAAAAGGAATCCTACATAAAATGATCCACTTAGTACCTAAAAAGCAAGCTCTGTTTGTTTTTCTTGATGGTATACAGCCTAGAAATTGCAAGTGATCAGAAGAACACTATGGGTTGGAGGCTGTCATATTCATTCAAGTCAAGAAATCTTTTTTTCTTCCCAGGAAATCCTTACATTTTAATACATCCAGCAAAATTTAGAAATGTCAAAGAGTTAATGTTTTCTAATCCAAATTATTCACTACATCATTAAGTAACAGTCATTGGCTAAATCCCAAAAGTTCTTGAGCTGTGCTGCATTTCTGAGAATAAGCAAACTTTATTTTTTTCATTAGAGTCTTAACACAATATAAAATGCAGGAATGTACCTATATTGGGTGTATGTATAGCTTTTACATTTGGAGTGCTTTTTGTCTTATGCAGCACGTGTAGAAACAGAAAATGGCATTGCTCTGAGGAACCCTGCCTGGAAACGTGTTCTGTTTATGGAGATGGGCATTACACCACCTTTGATGGCAAACGCTTTGATTTTGAAGGAGACTGTGAATATGTTCTGATCCAGGTAACAGGGTCCTTCCCAGATTTTTGCACAAAGTACCTTGCATTTTACCTCTGACCACGTAGCATAGTTAACACTGAATACCATTCCCCTGTTTCAGAACTACTGTGGTCAACAAGCTATGAATCAGGGAACCTTCAGAGTCATCACTGAGAACATTCCATGTGGCACTACAGGAACCACTTGCTCTAAGTCTATTAAAGTTTTCTTGGGGGTGAGTATTTTCTTTAAGTTGTGCTAGAGGGGTAGAACAAGCTGTCCTAGACAGACTGCATTGCAGTCCTCCAAGATAGTGAAAATGTTACTAGACTTCTTTGCTCACTGCTAAAGATTCTGCTCTCTGCTAGAGAAAGCAAAGGAGGGAACTCCAAAATTTCTTAACGTGAGGCTGTTGAATAGAATCCTTTTGATGATAATAGTTGTTATTTCAATAAGTTACTGGCAACAGATAAACCTGAACCAAAATAGATACTTTATTAACTGGCCCTAACTTTTTCTTTTCCTATCTTAGAACTATGAGCTGGTACTCAGTGATGGACACTCTGATGTCATCCAGAGGACACCTGGAGGAAAAATGCCATTCCAAATCCGTTCCATGGGTATCTACCTGGTAGTTGACACTACTGCTGGTCTGATACTCATGTGGGACAAGAAGACCAGTATATTCATCAAACTTAGTCCCAGCTTTCAGGTACAATTTAAAATCAAAAACTTGAATAAAATTAATTCTAAAACATATCCATACTATTTCTCAAATTAAAAGTGTGGAAATTTAGGCTGTACACGAAAGAGCAGCAATTGCATATTATTATCCTTGCTGTGTTGACTCAGATTGTGTACTATGCATTTCCTTAAATTACATTACTCAGCAATGGCATAACAGTAACTACATCAGTACCTTTCCTCATGAAAAGACCTCATGGAAGAGATATGCTCAGGATCAGCTAAAACTAAATAGCTCAGTACTTCAGAACAAAACCCTTGAGTCTACTCTTCTTCCTATCTTTGCTTGTCCTTCCTAACAACAACTTAGAGACATCTCTTTATGAAAGGCAATTTATGAAAATGTCCAACACTGTTACTTAAGAGGCACAGATGATCTTAATAAGATGAATTCTGAGGTCTGTTACAATATGGGAAACTGTACTTTATTATTTTTGTGATTTTTGTGTATTTATCCTGATGCAGGGACATGTTTGTGGACTTTGTGGAAACTATGATGGCAATGGAAATAATGACTTCACTACTCGCAGTCAGTCTGTGGTAGGAAATGTGCTGGAGTTTGCCAATAGCTGGAAAGTGTCTTCTAGTTGCCCAAATGCCAATCGTACAAAGGATCCCTGCACTGCAAACCCATACAGAAAAGCCTGGGCACAGAAGCAATGCAGCATTATTACCAGTGAAGTGTTTGCAAAGTGTCACTCCCAGGTACGACAAAAACTTTAGTTTTAAATTCTCTTGAGACAAAGATTACATCAATTCTTATGTGAGATGAAAAAAAACAACAACAACAACAAAAACAAACACAAAAACACCACACAAAACCCACAAAACACAAACACCTAAATACATTTTGTCATGCTTTACAAAGTGAGCTCAGACCAAGTTCTGTGGAGACTGCATGAAAAGTATTTTCACGGAAGTATTTTCACTTTCATTTTCTCAGCTTTAGCCTTGAACAAGTACACTAAAGAAACTGATAATGTGGATTGGTTGGTTTTGTTTGTTTGCTTTTAATAGAAGGAAAAATCATAGATAAATCTCAGGATAGGCTTATTTTCTAATGGTATCATTTTCTACTAATATAAATATCAGCCACCTGATATGTATGACTGTGTGCTAGGTCATAGTAACTAACAGTATTCTGCAGTTGTATCTTCATTATCATGCAGTTCTTAGTATTACAGCTTAGTAGCAATAGCTTTAGTCTACATTTTCCTCCTGATTTTTTTTTTCAAAGCCTTCTCATGGTTTCTTCCTTTCCTTCGCTTTTTCACAGATAAAGCTGTCAGTTTCAGGTATTTTATTTAGCTATTTTAGGACAGTTCAAAGAGGAAAAGGGAATGAAAACTTTAATGTTTTCTCTATCAGGTTGAACCAAATGAATATTATCAAGCATGTGTGGATGATGCTTGTGCCTGCGACACTGGAGGAGACTGTGAATGTTTCTGTACAGCAGTAGCTGCCTATGCTCAAGCATGCAATG